CAACCACGGAGCTCACCCCAGGGGGAAAAGCTCAACTCCAGCGACCTCAGCCGGTACCCAGAGCAGATGATGCAGGGTCTCGCAGCGGCCATCCTCTGCAGAGCGGGACCCGTCCTGGAGGCGCTGAGGCCGGGGGCACGGTGCCCCAAGTGAACCCAACGACCCCCCCGAGGCGGCAGAGGGAACCATCTCCCCACACGCCGGGGGACAACAAGCGCCAGTCCCTGAGGCTGAAGGCCGGCCAACAAGCGTTGGCGGGACTAACCTTGGGCTCACGTCCGGTCTCGGCCTCAGACAATCCTGAGGTCCGGACACCAACACAGCCGGCGGGCAGGGAGGTCGAACTACGGGGTGAAACTCTTCCCCTTCAGCCATGGGCACGCCATTGCATGGAGATCTCGGATCGGCCCACCACCCTGCCGACCACGCACGACCCAAATCTCTCCGACAAGGTTATGTACCTCCAGATGGCCTTCAAACAGCGCCCCCTCAGGGACGGGGGCGGGAAGCCCTCACTTGGACGGCTGGCCCCGTGGACTCGGCCATTGTCCAAAGCAGCAGCGCTGGGGGCCAAGATCTGTGTCCTCACGTCGCCATGGCGGGACAAACTCCAGGAGTCTCGTTGGGGGACGGGTCACACCCCTTCCCGGAGGACCTGCTGGAAGATATCAGGGAGATCCTGGCGCCAGGGGCAGGCCGACCAGCGGAAGGCCAACCCTTCTTCCTGGACATCTTGCACAGCCTGGCGATGAACATTCAGGACCCCGACCACCAATTTCCTCGGGATCTGGAACAAGGGGTCCCACTGGGGGTCACGGACCCACCCCTAGTCTCGCCGGGCATCTGGCCACTAGCTAAAAGCGGAGGAGCCGGAGTTCCAGGAACTCCCTCATCCGGGTAACTACCCCTCAGCGGATCACTTCAGTGAGCTCATCCGTAGCACATTCCTGGAGGAGGTCCCCATGGGCATGGTAGATGGCCCTCTCACCAAGGTAGAGGCAGCAGCGCGCTGTGGCTGCAATATGGTGGATCTTTGCCCAGGCCCCGGGGACAAGATCCGCACCATCTACGATGGCTCGGTGGGCGGGGCCAATGACACCATCAGGAACCAGACGGTGGAAAGGACGACGGCTCCGACGGTGCTGGATGGGGTACAAGCTCTTCATTGGCTACATGCGGCAGCTGAGGAGGGACCTCCCTCTCAGGGTTCCCCCGGCCCCGAGAGGGAGGTCGCTAAACCTCCACCCGAGGGCCGGAGCCGGGCACCAGGTGGGTGCTGCTCAAGGCGGACGTCACCAAGGCCCACCGGAGAGTGAAGGTCCTTCCTGACTGGCGGTTCCAGGTGGCCTCACTGGGGGAAGAATGGTGGGTGAACAAGGTAGGCACATACGGCATGGCCAGTGCCCAAGCCCACTGGGGACGCCTGGCAGCCCCGCCACCCAGGGTCCTCTACGCACTTTTCCCTCAAGTGGATTGGAACTTCGTCTTTGTGGATGACTTCCTGTGGCTGCTTCGCAGCAAGGGGGCAGTGAACTTGGCGGTGGCGCTGTTGGCAACACTCCTGGCCTTGGGCACCCCGCTTAGCTGGAAGAAGACACATTTGGCGGAGGTCAACACGTGGCTGGGCTTCGTGGTCCACCCGAACATCCCGCAGGTTCTCATGGCCGCCAACAAACACATCCTGGTGATGGAGGTCTTGCAGATCATGGTGGAAGGGCAGGCGATGCACTCAAAGGACATCGAGAAGGCCCTGGGCCGCATCCAATGGGCAACTGCTGCATGTCCGCTGGCGAAGTCGATGCTTCAGCCACTGTGGGCCTGGAAAATGGCCACCACCACGGTGGGGAAACCCCCTAAGGTGGTCAGGATGCTGGCGTTCATGCTGCGGTTCCTCTTCAACACGCCCTTCGTCCAGTACTCCCCTTACTTGCCGAAGTCCTCTTGGTGGGGTTGCAGCGATGCTAGCGCCTCGGATGAAGGACTGGCATTTGTGGGAGGCTGGTGCTCCAACAAAGTGGAGCCGGAGAAGAAGGAGGTGTACTGGTTCCACGAGCAGATCCACGTGGAGGAGTACCCGTGGGCATTCAAGAATGGGGATCCCAAGCGGAGGATTGCGGCTCTGGAAATGCTGGGCACGCTCTTCCTCTGTAACATGATCCTCACGCACCAAGGCCCTCTGTCCTCCCGGGTCCGACTCCCGGTGGGCAGTGACAATCAGGGCAACGTCATGGCGATGCTCAACCTTGGATCCAAGAAGCCCTACACCGCGGCTATCCTGATGGAGCTGGTCTTCCTGCTCCACACCCATGGCTGCTCGCTGGCGGCCAACCACGTGCCCCGGGAATTCAATTAGTGGGCCGATGAGCTGACGCACCCAGCTTTCTCGGGGTTCGACCCTTTGCACAGAGTTCCTAAACAGGAACTCTGCGAGGAGTTCATTTTTCTCCCACGTCTCCTGAATGGAGATGCATTTGATCTTAGCGTGGGCCCACCCATGCTCCCGTGACCAGAGCCGGTGAGTCACCCCCTGTGGCCTGGGTGCCCCTGGCCCCGGCCCAGGGGCGGGCGCTATCAGTCTGCACACCCGTTCTTCAGTTTTTGAGAGTTTGTGGTGGGTGGCCCATGGGGCCCACCCAGCCGTAGACATCTGACAGGGGAAGATGAGTCCCTGGCACCAACACATTGCTTGGATAAAAGAGTTATCGCTTGCTTGTGTGGTGCCGTTTGGTTAGCTTACATACACAAACCGTAAGTTATGGCTTAATTGGGAAATATGGCCATGGTTCAAAACCAATGGTACCATTTTGGGACAGGTCACCAGCCAGTGGGGATTGGGATGTTCACTGGGGGTACGGGCTTTTCACCCATGGCCATATGGATCTATTCAATCAGCCTTTCGCTTTTCCGAGGCGGCTCTCCAAGCAGTACGCCCACTTCAAGTGTACTGAAGCGAACTGTGGCAAGGAGACTCACGTCCAAGAGGGCTGAGCCGGGTTTGTCTCAAACTAGGAGAACCCATGAAATGGCCGGTTTACTTGTGCTTCCCATTTAAACAGAGTATACAGCCCAAAACGGGTGCCCTCAAAATATAACACCCGGCTTTTCCTTTGCCGCCCCTTCTGCCGCCCTCATGCTAGATGTTTGTCAATTTCATTGGAGACAACTCACCCCGTACAGTTGAACGACGTGTATGGGTGTCAACCCTTTTAGCCATGGTTTTAGGTTGCCACTTGTGAGCCCTCGGGCAGCCTTCTGCCCCGTTCCGCATTTGACTGTCAAAGGGAAACCCAAAGAAAACAGACTTTTGGTCTCCTGTAGGACACACTCTGTTTCGGACGGATCATTTTGTTTGCTCAGAACCGGTAAGATCTGACGGCAATGCTCGCGTTGCTTTGCCCTCAACGAGCTGTGTACAGTCAAGCGGGCATGGTTGTCTGAAATTTGGTTAGAGAGTTTTTTCTTGGTAGCGGGTTAGATGGCTGGACTGGTAGCTACCATATTTGTTGGTAACCAGCCGGACTTTGTTCAAATAGATGGCTCTCCCCGGTACCACAGAAAGGATCAGCTTCCGCAACCATGCCTTGGGGAAGGGCCGGACTCCGGACAACCGCGCGTTGCAAGCGGCGTCAAAGCTTAAGCTAACTTGCCGTGAAAATTTGGAGGTGGTGGGGTCAAACACCGCCAGCGGTTTGGTGCCAAGAAGGAGCGTCATCAATCCTTCAATATGGACGCAGCGACGCATGTTTTTTTGTGGGTACCTAAAAGAGGGTTGTTTTACAGTGAAACCAGAGGAAACCATTTGGGGCTCCGCATCCTTTTTGGAGAACCCATCTGTCGGCCATCGCGAATCCAATGCCTGACGGCACACCTCGCAGCATGTCCTGTTTGATTTTGGGACCTCGCCTTTTTCAGACAGGCTTCGCTCTCCGTCCCTTGAAGGGGGAGTTCAAACATCACCGTTTGGGCCAACTTAAAGAGGACCAGGATTCGTGAACCGCAGGCCAATTTAAAGTGAGTTTCCTTTTGGTGAGGTGATTCAGCGATGTTCAAGGAGGCCGACGGAGTCCCATGGGTTCGTGATTGCCGTGACCAGAGCTCTCGCACTACAACTTGAAGTGTCCGTCGTCGCAATGTGGGCAATGGTACGCCCTCTGCGTGCAGCGCTTGCTGTGCCTATGACGTCGTGCCTATGTCGACCCTTCAAACAGCTGCCTTCCAAACGAGCAGTCAGTCAGCAAACCTGGACATACACAGGCTTCCAAACGAGTCGGTGCACCCAACCATGCTTGGTTCGTGGGAGGGCAGGGATTCTCTGGACTGGTTGAAGGCTTCCCCGGCAAACCCATGTGCACCATGGCGAGCTCAGGGGGAAATGAGCTCTCCCGTGCACGAAATCCTAACCTCGGGCTTCCGAGAATTTGAGGTTGAGTTCTGCATCTCCCTGACATGCAAGTCGGACACAGTTGCCGACCCCCAACCAACGTGGGGAGTGTTTTGTTGTTAAGAATACATTTGTTTTTGTGGGCTTGATTTAAAGGGAACCAAATTTGCAATTGAAGACCCTTTTCTTCGGGTTCCCTCAAAAGGACAAACCCATGCCCTGTACGAGTGTGTATGTGTGTGTGTGTAAACAAAGGTCCCCTTTTTTTCAACACCCGACAACCACTCAGGACTTGATCAACAGAGTTTGAGAGGAATTAATTCCATCCCAGTCTGAGCGTTTGACCGATTGAGGTTTGATATTCCCTCACACTCCCTGTGTGGGCTTTCCATTGTGTGTGTGTGTGTGTGTGTTTGTTTTTGCGTTCGTGTTTGGGTTTGTGTCCGTGTTTGTGTTCGTGCACGTGGTTGGGTTTGTGTTCGTGTCTTTTTTGAGGGTACCCTTTGAGGTTAGTTTAATTAAAGGAAAACCAACAGGACCACCAAAACCATTCTCGGGGTCACACCCTTTTGCCCATGACTCGTGGTGTCCCACGCCGGAATCGCGCCCGACGCCCGAGGCCGGCCAAGCTGCTGGAGGCCGTGCAGGCGGCTGCACGGCGGAAAGGCGCCGAAGAAGTCCGTTCTGTCCCTGGATGCTTTTTTTTTTTTTGGAAATTGGCCTCATCCAAATTGGTTGACCAGCAATCTTTTTTTTTTGGTTTAATCCAAATGTTTAGTTCGAACACCCAACCCTCCAGGGCAAAAATGTGGGGTCGCCGAGACATACGCTGAAAGAGACGCGATGGCTCGCAAGGTTGGCACCACAAAAACAACCTTGCTGGCCTGTGGAGCCCTTGCGCCCTTTGGTGGGTTCAGGACGTGCCTAAAAATGGCGAACCATGCCAACCCCCAAACAGGGAACATCGCAACGGTAGAGGCCCTTTGTCAAGGATCCATTTGGTCAAGCAGGGGGTAATTACTTCTATTTCCCATTTGGGGTGTGCTAAAACCTCGCCTTTCGGGCCAGCTTTGATTTGTTTCTCCTTGATGTCTGCAGGGATGTGGCTGCACAACGCACCAGGGATGGTTGAACCCCAATTGAACACTGGCATTGGGTTTGCAGCGCCTGCCTGGTGCGAAATGGATTTAGTCCATCACTACCCTTGTAAACTGTCCGTGTCCAAACCCAAGCAGTGCCTTAACAGGTGCACGGCGGCCTTGTCGCTGCATCCGATCAGGCCCCTTGAAGCCCAAAGGATTTGAAGGGCGGTTTTTTTGTGGCTTGGCCGGTGGCTTGGCCAGGCGGAATGGCCATCTTTTGCAACAGCCACACCGAGGTGGAGAAGGCCTTGGGAGGGGGGCCCTCGCTTGCGCGGCAAGCGGCGAGGGGACGGGGAAATTTGTTGGAGATCTTTGGCGACCCTTTCGGCTGGTTGCTTGATTTGCTCACTTGAGCTACCTCACATACGGCCCGGTTCTGGACAAGGGTCCCCTTGCAGTCGGCGTCCTGAGTGGGCTGACTCTTCGATAAGAGCGGTCCAAAGGTGCCAGGCTTTAGACGTTGGAGTCTTGGCTTTCCCTGGGGCCATTTCCGATTTTTGCTCTCCGCTTAAAATCTGTGTACCTGACAGAATCCTGAAGCCGCTGGCCGTTGCGCCGCGGAAGCCGCATGTTATGTGAGCGACAAGCCACCCGCGGGGAAGAGGTGCCTGTGAATTGGGGGAACCCTCATGTTTGAGGGGGCTTGATGGACATGGGGCAACGTTAATTGGCGTTTTTGGTGATGTTAGACTTTTTGCCTGTTGGTTAAGAGATAAAGGCGGGTGGCAAATATTGAACAACAAAACCAACAGGAAAGTGTTTCAACGATGGTGGTGTAAACGTGTTGGAACCAGCGGTTGGCCCCTTGACACATCTGCTGCCCTTTGTTCCATTCCAACTATCATGGGAAGTGGGCACCGGCCAAAAGCGCCAGAGTAGCGGTCCTCCAAAACCCAGCTGTCGGCTCTCATGATTAACGTCCCCTAAGGAAGCCAACAGGGTATGTGACTGATTCTTTCATTTCTCCAGATTTGTGGCGCCTCTTTGAGAGGATGAGTGTCTTTCAAGCCCGCTTGTCAGCTTCCATGTTGTAGGATGTGCATTTTACAGGCTCCCTTCAAGGCTATATTGCTGATTTTGAAGATCCGAATCCTTGTGAAGTAGGTGGTTTTTTGGGATGTATGCTCCCACTGGAACACTCTTAAAGGATCCGTTTTGGTCATGAACAACCAGATTTACCAACTGACATAGAGGGGTTTTGCCTCTAAACGGGGTGGTTTTGTCAGATGTATTCTAGTTGACACACCTTTTGTTCTTCCCCTCGCCGTGCGCAGCCTTTTCGTCTGTCATGGGCGCTCGCTCCGCACAGCGGCCTCGTTGACACAGGTGGCGCAGGGCCTACAAGGCCTGACGGTGGTGCAGGTGCACGAGCATGCGAACGAGGCGATTGCGGGACGTTTGCGGGGGAAGGCGGCGGCGGGGGGGTGGGGGGGTGGGGGGGTTTCGATTCTGCGTAGATCCACCTTACCATGGTTTTAGATGTCTCCTAAGTGGCTTGCAACCATGGTTTTTATCCACAGACTAAGTACCCTCCATCTTTCAGTATGGGTGTTTGTGGTTTTTAGAAGGTCCCCTGGTTTGTTGTTTTTAAGGGGGAAGCACCAGAAAGAAGACCCACGATGGGGGGGGTCCCCTCAAAAAACACCCATATCTTGCAGTCACCTGACCGATTCGGGGAGAACACGAGCGAACGCCTAGGTCGGGTTCTCCCCTTCTAACAGGCAGCACCAGTTGGGAATGTCCAAAAAGGGGCAGCCTTCTTGACCCCCCCTCTCCAAATGGCGATGGATTCATTCTGGGCGGAATGCTCCCCCCAAGAATGGTTGGTGGACTAGCAAGCAAAACGTGAATGCCGAATGTAAATGATGTCCTCCAGCCCCTGACGTGCAGATCCAAATTGGGGAGAAAGCTATTGCACAAATGCTGGTTCCGAGCGCTGCATGAAGATTTCAAATGCTGGATGGTCCCACAATTGGGGTTCGTCATCCAGAATGGGTTTTCAACAATGGGATTGGGCCAATTGCAAAGTAAGACACACAAGCGCTGCAGTCATAGCCATCCACCCCAGGCGACGGACGATACACCTGGCAGACCATGCCTTCTCTTTTCCCATTTCGGCCCATGTTGCGTCCAGGTCCAAAATTTGCCTTTGGTTTGCAGGATCCGGTATGTCCATCAACCTCAAGACCTGTGAATTCGGTTGACCGTAAGCGCGATCCGGACAACCGCAGGATGAGACCCAAGAGCGCTTGAATGCGCTGGATGGAACGTGGGCGATTGTGGCATGGGACCCAGCAGTCCTGGCAACGGGGATGACAAAGGAATTCAGTTGAGCCATGTTGAGCCACAATCAAAACCCGGGTAGATGAAGGTTAGTAAGGGGCAGTCCCAGCCAGAAATAGACCATTTTAATACCGGGTTTTGATTGTGACTCAGTGTTGGACCCAAGACACCATTTGATCCAATTGGAGTGAGTGTCATGCAGCGTTGGACCTGAGACTGGCGACAAGCAGCTACTTGGCGTCCCAAGAGCCGAGAAGGGAGCCGAATTTTCTGATTGTTTGGAGGGTATGGGAAACATAAATTTGGCATGTGGACTTGCGCAGCGTGTCCCGACTTGTAAAGCAAGGGGCGCAGGCTGGATGCTTGGGCAGGGAGCAGGCTTTACAAGATGTGACAGGGTGTCGCAGAAGCAAGGCAACCCACAAAATTCTGTGGGTGTCCCTTGTTTTCCCTTGAGCGCAACCCCAAAAACTTTGTAACAAGAGCGTCGGTTTAATGCCACATCCCTTAAGAGAAGCCACCTGCCAACGCAAGTCCTGAACTCCATCCTATGTCTGGGGCCCATTGGTCTCAGTGGTCAAACAAACACAAGCCTTGTGAATCCTGACCTAGCCTTCCCTTCCTAACGTGGGTGAGGAGGCGAATTGCCCCGAAGATTACTCTTGAGAGCCTGGGAGTTGGGTTACCATGGGAGGCGAACAGCGGTGTCAAAACATGTCACGCTTGCAAGACTGGTTCACAAAAAGCAGCGACCCCCTTTCGGAATTTGTGTTCCGCCCTGAAAGGGGAATTCGGAGTCCCCCCAAAGGACCAGCATGTCATGCCCTCGAGGGGTCCAAAGTGTCTTCGCAGCTAGAGGTGCGTGCGCGAGAATTTCTTGAAGCTGGCTGAATGGTGCACCACGTCTTCGCTCGTTGAAGTCGGCTCAAGCCATGGGGATCGCAGGGAATGGGTCCCGACTCTGCAAGGAAGCCACTTGTGCAATCCATGGGGCAAGAGAGGTGCCAACCCGGGCCAGAGGAGAAATCGACCCGGACGGAGTGGCGCCATTTTTGTTTCCCTTGAACTGGAAAGAATGGGGGCACCCTTCAGCAAGCTCGACTAGGGGTTTATGAAGCCTTTCCCCTGATGGCAATGGGCAACCACCCATTTCTGAGGTTCTCAAGATTACAGCAAGAAGAACAGAACTCTGTGCGTTCTGGAGTTGAGCAAAACTGAAACTCTCTCAAATGGAAGTGGTATACATGTCATGGGGAAGTGGTATACATGTCTCGGTGCCTTCTGGAGTTGAGCAAAGACAAGAAGCTGATCTTTTCTCAGCACTCCTCTCTCTGGCCAAAGTCGACCGCCATGGCCTGGCCCCGCTTCCTTCCGAAGCTGGCGGCCTTTCGGCGGAGGGTCTGCCGGGAGTTTTTTCGGGGGCGCCGGGAAAGGGGTGGGGGGGGGGAATGTTACGGGCCATGGACCGAAAATCCCATGAAAAAGCAGCCAGATCCCCTCAAACGGATTCCCCCACCATGAAAAAGATACGGGCCCGAAAATCCCCACACTTTCGAACGATTCCCCTTTCAGAGCGCCAGCGACCTTTGAAACCCCCTTACTCCTCGAGGCCTAGAGGCCGTTTCGCAACAGAAAACCCATGCCAACCGGGAAGAAGGTGGCCGGTTGTGGTGGGCTGCGGGCTCTCGAAGCGGGTCGCGCGGTTTTAACGAGACATTTGACTGCGCCGCGGATTCAATCCTTTGGGTTGCGAAGTGGCCAAGGTTCCCAAGAAGGTGGTCTTTGACAATGAGAAGCTGAACTTGATCTACTACTTCCTGCATGTGCCGATCATTGTCTATGCCACCCGGACAAATCTGAAGCTAAGGACACTGCAACACCTCTGGCGTAACCACAACACGTATGGTGTGGCCGTAGCCAAGGGGTACATGACTTGATCTAGTTTCTTCTATTGTTAGGAACAAAGTCACGGGGATGAGCGGACAAATGTAACAAACCACCGAGCGATTCCTGGACCAAAACAAGGGAGCGAGAGAACGAGCCCCGTGTGTTGTGATCGGAGGCTGCGCTGATCCTGTTCTTGCAGAAGCAGTACACCGAGGTGATACCCGGCTAGTCTATTGGAATGCTTGTTGTTTTTGTGTCTTGGTTGGGGCTTCCTTCAAGTTCAAGCAGAACATTTGGTCGTTTCCTTTTTCAGGTTCGTGTCACTTTAATCCCACCACGCCTGGACCCAGCCAGTCTTAAATTGGGATCGTGCCCCACAGCTATAGGATTTACACCAAGTTTGGGGGTTTGAGGGTCCAGATTCGCTTCACATGTGAAGCGAATTCGAGGATACCCAACTCGCCCTTCCTGATGGTCAATGCGGACGCGTTGCTAGTCCAGCCGCCTGAGATGCAGAGGTCATGTGGGTCTCTAACAGGTTGGGCCATACCATCAGTGTGGAGGGAATGGTTCTCTTCATCTCTGGTGAAGGAAAATGGGCCGGGGGGGGGGGTTAGTGAATCGCACTTCCGGTGAGTGGCCAAGTCGTGCGGGTCTTTCCATTGTGCTATCCCCGAAAGGGGCTCGTTTTCCAAGTAGTATCTAGCAAGAGTTCGGGTCACTTCGAATGGACTCAACCACATGAGCTCCTTTCCAGATCGGTCACTTCCCTTTCCGCTCGCTACGCTTCCCGGCTTGCGGGGATCCCTGTTCGTTTCTGGGGGTTGTGGCATTTGTTTGCCCGGGCTCAGTTGTTTCTCACTTTGTTCCCTGAGTTCAACTGCGAAATCTCAGATCGATGTCCCCATTTGGGAAGTCCGAGTTGTGAGTTTTTCTTCGGTTGGGGCGTGCTTTAAGTTTCTTTTTAGACAGACAGAGACAGAAACAGACGCAAACAAAATAGAGACAGAGAAACGCAGACAGACACAGACAGATAAGCACGGACAAACACAAACAAAACCAGATAGGCGCGGACAATGAAGAACAACGGCCCCCCCCCAGCACCCCTCCCCCCCCCCCCCGTCCCCCCCTTCCCATTTTCCTCGGTCCCAAAGGCCCTACCTGGAGAACATGAACGTCACGGAGCCTTCGGAGTCCATCGGAGCTTGGTGTCAGGTGGCAGGGGGTCCCTTCGACTGCCGGAACTCCACGCAGATGATCATGGACATGTGCTTGGCCGGGGGCCCGAGGGAGAGGCGAGGTGTCGGCTTCTGGTCCGAAGGGATGGATCAAGCAACAGCCCATATATGTGAACATCCCAATCCAACCACTGTAGGTTCTAAAATGGGTGGTGAATTCACCTACCAACCAAAATGGGATCCCAAAACGGTTTTGACCCACAGCCACGACCCAGGTTCTTTGTGGGAGGCCAAGGGAAGGTTGTTTGGACTGGTCTCTTGTAACGAATTGGCCAAGGTTTCAGGAATGGCTCTTGGATGCTTCCCAACAAGGTGGCAAGCGTCCGAGTGCAAAGTGCGAGATGCTCCGAACCCAACAAACAATACGGGTCACGCCGCGAATCCACGATGGCCCCTCCAAACAGGGGACCTGAACGACAACTTGTTGTGTTTGGGTTCCAAGCCGGGTGCCGCTCCGGTGGTGCGCCCCTTTTTTTTTGCTGGGGTAGGCCGTTTTTCGAAAGCTCCCCTTCCGGGCTTAGGAGTGAGGTGTTTTTCTTTCTGCCATCTTTCGGTGGAGCAGGGCAGAAGGACTCTAGTTGGGAACGAGCCTTGAGGGACCTGAGACAACCTCGATCTCCAGAAAAACACAATGGGTTTTTGGTAGTTTCCCTTTGCTCAGGCTGGCAGACTCCGAGTCCGACCAACCACCTTTGTCTTGGTTTGGACCCATAGATTTGTCTGTGCCCATCCCGCACGGACCTGAGGCATTCCTCAACCAGGACATCATCGCACAACTGCCCGTGACCATAAGCACCGCCTGCCGCTTGGCGAAACATTGGCCACTTCATGGGAGTGGTTTAGGATTCCCATGTGAGTAAGCAAGTGGTGAAGTAGTTACTTCGTCATGGATGGGAATCAACCACTTCAGTATCACAGAAACCGACGGCTTTCAAGCTTCCATTTGCTCAAGAATGTTGTTTTATTTTTCCCCTGTTGGTTTTTAAACGGAATCTGTCACTACTGGACATTTTATATTTATATATATTTATATATTTCAGGGGCTTAAGCAGTCTTTGGGCTTCTCGTGGCTAAATCTCCCAAAGAAATTGAGAGAGCGAAGGTACCAAGCCTTGCGACCTGGCGGCCATTGGTCTCAGCTGCATGATCCCGCCGGCCTTGTTTCAGAACTCAGGCGGGACGCGCCCAAGCTTTTCGTTCGGGGAGGTCGGGGTTCGGGCGCAGGTCGTTTCCTCCAAGGATTTGCGACAACTTTTGGGACTCCAGTTCCAGGTGTGTGGTTCCTAGCCTGAGAAAAAGGCACGTTGAGAGGTGCCTGAAAGCGGAAGAGAGGGCTCCAAAGCTTTGGGAAGTTGCAGAGATCTTCCTTCAGACTCGCGGGAAAGCCATTCATGAATGAGTTGTAGATGCGACCAGCTTGTGTCTCGCGGCTCATTCTGGCGCAGGCAGCACGTCGCTCCAGATCACTACCATGCTTGGCTACAATCGAGGCGCCTTGAGCAGACGTTTCGGACGTTGTTCCCCCCCCCCCCCCGACGAAGCGGTCACGAGCGGTTGGGTCAAAATGTTGCACTCAACTTGAGAGGGGCCGACCACCGGCTCATGGCTTTGAGCTGTTGCCTTTAGCCCTGAGTGAATCATCATTTCAGAGCTTCTTAGGTGGTGCGACATGGGTTTCGTCCGTCCACAGCAAGTGGTTTTCACATTTGGGGAAGTGTTCCGTAGTCCGAAAGAAGAAATCCCAGGCATTTACTCGGGCAGCGACCTCAACTTCCAGTTGGGCCTGAACCCGCTGCTCCGGTACGCGCCAGTGCGCCTTGGCATTGGTTTGGTTTGTACCGGACCAAAAAGGTTTCAGTTGAGTTTGTAGATGG